AATGATAAAGTGAGAGAAAGAATAATTCTTGTGAGCAGCCATTGGCCAAGGACAACTGGAGGTTGATGTCTATGCTTGTACAAAGTAACGATACAAACATTCGCATTGCAGTTCTCTGTTCATAAGATGCTTGGGGGTGCAACTGAGGAAAGATCTGTTGCCTACAATTTGTTGTTTCATCTGATAACCTTGCATTTGGCAAGAGCACTGCAGATGTCCAAGTATGAAACAAAGCAGAAAGAGTTAAAGTGGCTATCAAGACTTTCATGAAGCACTGAAAGTCAGCAGACAACTGATAATTGGGTAATATATTCAAAGCCAGAAGTAGAAAGGTAAAGAGGCACTGGGTGTCCTATACCAACCATGATGTCTTTAATAGGTGTACCATCAGTCTAGCTGGAAGGAAGATATGGACCTTAGTCACTAACTGTAATGCTATACAACTTGTCCAAGCATTACAGATGCTTCTCAAGTCTGTGAATATAGAACCCATGACATGCTCTTGGATTATGTATATTGCCAGTGGCACTGCTGATTTATTTTCTCACACCAGACATTAAATTAGTAATCGTGGGTTCACATAGAAATTCTATGTTGGCTGTTGTAGAGATTATTGGGAAACATGCTCATTAGCCCAAGAACAACTATCTTGTTGTGGGTCTGCTGTATCTACAAACGTGCCACCTAGAAGCAGCTAGAGATTCTCAGCATCTGACGCCCTCACACCCCACATGAGGGAAGGAAGTATATTCCATAGCCTCTTTAAACTATCTCATCTCAAACTCACAGCTGTTACAGTTTGCAATTGATTTTATTTCCCCCACCCCTTATCAGCTTGGTACCAGAAATAAGACCTTCCCTTCCCACTGCACTTGGCAGAAGTGAGTTTGAGAATTTTCTTGGCCAGAGCTGTCAGGCTGTGGCACAGCTGTACTTTCTAATTCCACATAATTATTTAGAAGTCACAAACTAGTAAAGAAGAAACGTTCCTTCCTCAATATGATTCCAGCGACTAGGAACCAGAGAACTGAGAAAAGTTGAGCACAGCATTAGCACTGACAGTCCCCAGGTAATACGATTTTACCATGCTTCTGAGATGCCAGGCTTAAGTGCTCTAACCACTCCCTCTTGATCACCACTAATGCCACCACTTACCACAACAGAAATAGCCAGTACAGCCCCAGGCCTTTTCTGAAGAGTTGCCAACTGCAGGCAACTATGTCCCAGAGCCCAAAGGAGACAGAGGAAGCAGGAGAAAGGAAGGGTTTGCACCAATTTTACAGTAGGTCCTCTATTCACAAGCCATTCTTAGCATACCTGCTCCCCCTGCCACCTTCAAGCCCCACACTCCAAAGCCGTTCACAGCAGATACTGTTTGGTAGCACTCTGACTCTCAGATTTGCTGCCAACTGCTGTTGAAACAACAGGACAGCATTGCTACTTCAACTGCACAGTCAGAAACTGATTTTCTTGGTACGGAGATAACTGCAGCCTTGTAGTTCTTCAATTCTCCCATTCAGCAAGCTGAAGAGGGGAGAAGAAAAGCAAGCTTTTTCAGAGGGTGGCGGGGGAGCAGGGGTCGGGTGGAAATGACGTCAGTGACTAAGCGTGGGGCAGGAGAGGCACAGAGCCGCCAGCTAGCACGGGGAGCCGGAGAAGGCTGCCAAGTTCAGCTATTGGAAGAAAGCTACCTTTCTGAGGGCTGCCTCGCTGCAGAAGCAGCCTGTTCCAGTTTCAGGCTCCAGGCAGGCATCACTTCGAAAAGAAGAGACTCTGAGGCGTGCCCCTTGTTACCCCCACAGCAGAAAGCGCATATGCTTTCAGGGAAAAACGAGGCAGACGGATGGAACGAGAAAGCTTGGAAGGAGAAAGCTGAAGTTCAAGCAATAAACGAAAGCCCACGCGTACGAAACCCTGCGCCGTGCCCCAGATCCGGCTTTGACCTATGACCCCCAGCTACACAAGTTTCACAACAAGACGCCAGAGTTGCAGGAAAGCAGGAACGAGGGCTCCCCGCCCCCCCGCCGCGGCGGGGGAACAAGACGGCAT